ATCGTGTATTTTATACAAAGTGTTCTTGGATTAAATCGTACCGGATTATGTTCTGCGAAAAATAAAAATAAGAAAAGAAGGTTATATAAAGTTTATGTTTCCAAATGCCTCTTTATGAATCCAAGCTTATGACATTTTAGGGAAATTTATCATTGTCGTCGAGTTTCATCTTTATATTGCTTTCAGTGAATAAATTATTAATCATTCGACTATTTCAAACAATAAACATGGTTAAAGTAAATTTCGTAAATACCTCGCCGTCTTATTGTTACATTCCGAAAGTACGAACTCGCCATTCACTTTAGCTTTCATATTTTTTATTATAACTTTTATAAGGCATTTGCTTACATATGGACCAATGTTTATATAACACTATTCTCTTATTCTTTTTTAAGCAAATAGAATATATTGACGCAGCTCGATCGTTTAATCCCTGTGAATTTTGTATTAAAATATAATACGTACAGACATTTCTTCTTATTTATATTTTTCGTCGCCACTGTACACTGTAAGAATGTATACCATTCTAAAATAATTTATACATAGGACGGAATATCTGAAAAATTTACAACATCCGTGGTGAGTCACGCATCGTCAGCCCCCATCAGAACCTCTCCTCCGTACGAGCTATAATTACGAAGTTTAATTGACTAACGAGCGCAGACGAGGATCGGCGAAGCAGTGCAGAAATGGAGCTCTGATTGGTCCATTCACTAAAGCCCAACTTGGTTCATTCACGTTGCAATTAATTCGAAAGCGTCTAGCCACGGGGAGAGCTGTAACGTTCCTCGTAGAAACTTCTCTCCTCGTAAGGGAGGGAGGGGGAGAGAGAGAGAGAAAAAACATTCTCGTCGATGGTCGGCAGTTACACGATCGAATTTGTAAATCGAATCGAAACTTAGAGAGAAGAGAGAAATTTAAGAGAATCCTCTTGCTGCTAAAAAATGCGACCGTTTGTTCTCGTCGAATGTAATTTTCTGGTATTCGATGGGATATGAGAACGGTGAATCAACGATAAAGGGATAAAGGAAATAATCGTAGGTCGATGAACGAAAATTCAGTGAAATTTCTCTTGGAAATGGAACAATGTGTGAAATTTGAAAAAAAAAAAAAAATAATAAAAAAATTCTCTTCATCGATTGCAATTTTCTGATATTCAATGGCATATGATAACATTGATTCGCGCGATGATAAAATGGATCATATCTGTTGAACGGGGAATCTATCGATGAAATTCGAAGGAATTTTTTTTTTTATAGAATGGTACAAAATTTTTTCTTTGAAGCATAGAAAATTCGAGAAAATTAAAAAAAAAATTGTCGTTCCCTTTTTGCTCGGTTGCAATTCTCTAGCTTTCAATGGCCACGTGATAACGACGAATCAACATTGATTCACGCGATAAAGTAAATTATCGCGTGAAAAAGGTCGTTGAACGGAAACCGGTCCAAACTCAGGATTGAGGAATGTTTTTCATTCGTTTCCCACGGAACACGCGTGAAATCTGAGAAAATATAAATAACAAACACTATTCTCGTCGTATTCTCGTCGGCATATTTTTCCGGTGGCAAATCAGCGAATCGACATTTGTACGCGCGATAAAGGCGATGGTTGAAACCGATCGGCCAAATTCAGTGGAATCTTCTCAGGCTGGTGCGAAGGTTTCCCTCGGCAACACATGTGAAATCGGGATAGCAGGCATGGGAACCCACGAAATGCAGATCCGCCTTCGCACATGCCTCGATGCACGCACGTATGTGCGCCGTACACCGAATTAACGACGACCTAATTGACCGTCGCTAATTCCCTCGTCCTCTCCCCTTGTTGCTCGCGTCCAATCCTCGAGTTTCACCACGTACATCTAGTTAACGCCGGCCAGCGTCTCTCAAACTTTCCTCCGTCGCTCTATTTCGCGTTTTCCGCTCGACTCGGCGAGACTCGATTCCACCGACAAGTTCATTCAACGAACTTCTTCCCCGTCTATACTTTTCTCCACCGGTATTTATCTATCTATCTATCTTTCTCTTTCTCACCATCGATTCTCATGGCCGCGACCGTAACGAGTGGATCAACCGAATCGAACGAATGTGCTCTCCAAGCGAGTCGAAAGTTTTATTTGGCTTTACCCGGTGGCTTTACCCGCTCTAGATCTCTGTCATTAACTCGAATTTCTTTCGAGAACGTGGAGCAATGACACATGCACGCTAATGCCGCGTGCACGCTCGCACGAATATAATCGAGCGATAAAATTGTAGCGTCGTTACCGACCGCGTTATGGCCCTTTCACACCTACGTTACCATACTTTCCACGTCTCTCATATTTTCTCACGCTTGCCCTAATGGTAATATCGGGGAAAGTAATTTTGAATAATTTAAATCTCTATTATAAGATCGAAGGTTCAAGAAAAAAAGGTACGCAAATTTTTAATTTCATTCAATGTGTTACGCACGATGCAAGAGGAGAGGAAGTAACCTGTGACGCCAAGTGAACACCGAACTGCGTGAAAAATCTCACGATTCGACCGGTTTTGATTTCCTATTGGACAGGAAATTAACGATAAATCGTAGCTCGTAACGGGTGAATAGCTTTAAATCCGTTTAGACAATCGGGAAGTAATTATGGATTTGTGCTGCTTCGACCCAATTAAACCCATCCCGAATTAAATGCGTTTTCAATCCATCCTATTGATACTCACCAATACGATTCAAGAGTACAAGAGCGATTCTTTCGCGATTGATACGTAACGAAATTACGATTTCTGCGTCCGTTGAAGATCGTTGGGATGGAAAATCGTGCGTCCACACGGCGGATACAGCGACGCGACCGTGCTTTGCGCGCAACGTATCCGTATCAGGGCTACCAACCGCGTTATTCGAATTTAAACGCAGCCGCAAGATCCAACCTCGACACGAATCTGGTAAAATTTAATATTCGGACCGGACCAATGGGGGCGTCCGCAAACGAACGACGCGATGCGGCCAATCCGTGGCCAAGTGTATACGACACGTATATGACACGATTACCTCTAACGCATCGAACATTTATTACGCCGTGTTTCATCGTGATTTGCGGAAATTTCGCTTCGATTATTAATCGATTATTAATGAGCCGAAACGAAAAGGATCCTCACATTGGCCAGCGGGACGATTAATCGTGCAAGAGCTCGAGGAAAGAAAGAAAGAAAGAGAAGAAAGAAGAAGATAAAAAAGAAAGAAAGGAGAGAAAAGTTGTAAGTTCTGGGAGCATCGTTTGCGTCAAGCGATAAAGTTGCTCTCCTCATCGAAGGGGCCCGTACATTTGGTCCATCTTTTTTGCGAACCGCCCCTTCTTCCCTGGTCACCCTTGACGTCAATCTCGTTCCCATAAACGGAACACACATGTGCCGGACGATTCCGTTCGCGGCATTGGCTCCGCTCCGTAATACGCGATTTTAAACGGCCGATCAAAATTCCACGATGACCTACTTCTCTTTCTCGATCAATGCCGTACCACCGGCCTTCGCAGGACCTCGTTCAATCGATCGCTCGATCCCCCATCATTCTTCCGTTTTATTCGAGCCAAAGGAGGAGAAGTAGCACGCGTCTCGTCTCGTTACGTCGTTTACGTCGGAGGACAGGCTCGTCGATCCGAAAATATTTAATTTGGCCGGTTAAAAAGAGGTGGTTTCCGGAATATTTAACAGAATTTCTTCGACTCCCGGGTAATTTGACTCTTCCATCGTTCGGGGGGATGGAAATTACGGACGCTCGGTTAAATCCGGGCTAACTGAATTCCTTGATAAATTCCAGCCGTCCAAAGGGGAAACTTTGTCGGACGAAGAAACGCGAGTTATTTGCGCGAGGAAGTTCCTTGCCTGCAACGATATAAACGCCTTGATATTTTTCTTTTTTTTTATCGCGAATTTTATGCATAACAAAAGGAAACCAGATTCTTCGCATTTCTTTCTGGACGTGTATGTATATATATTGGATTTTTCTCGAACATTTCCAACATCTCTCGAATAAAAGTCGAACGATAATTTTAATCATTTTTATTCGATGCCTACCTACGCTTAGTCCAGGCCCACGCTCGCTTCGACGAGCCAAGCCCTCTCCTCTCCTATTTCGAACGCACACCCTCGTCCGGTTTATGGAACGAGCTTTTTTTCTCGCAACCACTCGACAGAAGATAACTGGAACCAGACGAATGCGGAGTGCAAGCCAGCTCGATCAAGGCCGAATAACGTACTTGGCCGACGAAACGCGGTTCCCCTAATCGATGCTTGGCGAGAGTATTTTTAGTCCGCGTATTTGGGATTCGAGCTTCCTTTTAAAGGGAAGGCCTGTCTTCGATCCTCGATAATCAAAAGTTGCGACGCGGCACGAATAATTTTACCCGCAATTTTCCACCTTTTTCTTTCTCGATTTTCTTCGTCCTTAAATCTTCCCTTAAATCGTTTTTATCGATCTTTTTTATCGATCTTGTGAAGATTACCATAAAGAAACTTCTTGAGTAAAAATGATACATACGCGATGTTATGAAGGGTCAACTGAATCTATTTATTTCTACTTTAACCTCGATAAATTCAAACTGTTTTGCTCACTGTTCGGAATTATAGAAACTTGGATACAAATCCAATACTTGTAGAGAAATCTACTTATTTTAAATCTATTGGAAACCATTTATCGTGCTTTCTCTCGACAAGAAATTATCGAGAGTGTGTACACAACCATAACATTTCTTTGATATCTATGAACTTCTTTCGAATATTAAAATCGATTATCGCGAAAACGGAAGAAAATCCTAGCTTGCTCGTTTCGATGTCAAGGCCTCTTTCTCTCTCGATTTAATTACCATCGAGCAAACGTGTCGGATGCAGTTCTCTGTTTCGAGCATTCTCTGTTGCAGCCGGTTGTTATCCCAGATTTTCCCTCGAAACTGGTCCACTTCGTTAAAATATGCGAAGAAAAGGAAGAGAAGAGAAGATTTCTCTAACGATTTCCACCGGTCGACTCTGTTTCAGGACCGTCCCCAGATTTCAGCAGGCACACGTTGGTCAGACCGCGGGTCTATCACGGCAGGACTAGGCGGCAGATCTCCTCGACCAAAGAGAACGTAAGTATGATTTTGTTTGTCGAGGAGGAAATTTTACGTGGTGAACTTGTGTATTTTTGTACAATGTAGTAATAATTACAAAAGATACAAAATAAGTAAGAGAAATTAATCTAACTTAACATTCGAACAATCGGCATGAACAGAGTTGGGCATTAATTCGTCGAAATATTCGAAGTATTAAAAATAAAGTTAAGTAAATAATTAATTATTAAAATGTTTGAATAACATTTATTCGTAGCTAATTGATTCGTTTTCCGTTACAATTATTTCCGATTATTATTATTATGTTTCGAACGATAAATTGTTAAAGTAATTTATGGAGTTAATTTTTTGTCTAATATCTATTGTAGCATTTAAATAGCTATTTTTACGTGTACGATTAGTGTTACGATAAAGGTTAACTATCTCAAATAATTTTAAAAACATTAACATACTATCGTATATGATCGTAAAAAAAAAAAAAAAATATGAAATCCATCGATCATTATTTCGATCGTTCGAATGTTAAGTGTTAAAACGTTATTACGAGTTTCTAATAAATTTATGATAAATATTATTGAGCATTTGAGAGAAAATATTTCGAAGAGAAATCGTTTTAGATTAATCGATGGAAGAAGATGTCTAAGTTGCCTATACTTGTACGCTTTCATGAAATCGGCAAATGTTAACCCATAAAAACAAATATCCCCCTCGTATTTATATCCTCCGCTATAATTTTACACGAGCGTCCATAAAAATTAACTGCGACTCCTTTCTGCGAACCTATCCTATCCGCGTGTGTCGATTGTCGACACGACTGACGAAAGGACACGATTTCGTCGTCGATCTGCCCGTATAAACGAACGACCTCGCTGTCGGCCAGGATCCTCGCGATATCCTATTTTTTTACGACGACGTGTAAAGAGCGAGAAGCGAAATTCCACCGCTCGCGTACGACTTTCACCGACGTCGTAAAAAAAAAAAAAAAAAAAAAAAAAAAAAAA